GGGCGGAGTTGGGGGCGGACCAGCCCGCACTGCGCGTCCCCCTCCGGCCGCGGGGCGTGCGGCTGCGCCCGGGTGTCACGGCGCGCATGGTGTGAGCCGGGCCTGGACGCGCGTGTCACGGCTTAAAAATAGCTGCTCCGGGGCCCAGCGGTCGTGCCCAGGCGGCCGAGACGACGGCGCCAACCAGGGAGCCATGGCCCAGGGGCTGCGGGCGCCTGCGATCGGCCTCCGGGACTGAGACCCCGCGGCTCGGAGAGGTAGAGGGGTGCCTGCGGGGGGGCTGGGGGGGGGGGGCGAGGAGGGTGTTGCCTTCCCAGCGGGGCTGTGGGGAGGGTGGGGGCGCCCTCCCGGGCTCCCTCCCGCGCCCTCCGCCTCCGGGCTGGCTGGGTGGCAAGGGCTGGGCGACAGCCATGAACCTGTTACCACAGCGGAGGGAGTTGGGGGGAGGGGGAGGGGGATGGCGCAGACGAGGCCCCTGGAAGCCTGCGGATGGGGTTGCAGAATGCAGAGAGAGGTACCCCGAGACAGAAGGGGACTTCTGTGCCCCCCACCCCCCCAGGAGAAAGAGAGTCCCCTGGATGGGACTTCTTGTTACCGTGCAGCATCCCACGGGCAGCAGGTCTGCTTCCAGGGGGGTGGGGGTAAAGACATGGCTCCTCAGGCCTGAGGGCACAGGTGGATGGTGATGGCGGCGGCTGTAGAATTGTGCTTTGGTGCTCTGACTCAGACACTGGGAAAATGCCTCCCTGCACACCCCCAATCCAGGCGCCCCTCACCACTCCCCATCCTAATGCCCCCCTCCTTCCGCCCTGGAAGTGCGTGGTCTGCGGCCCAGGAGAGAGAGGAGAACGGTGGGAGGACGCCCTGCTGAGGGCTCTGGGGCTGAAGGCAGGGAGAGGGCGGGAGAGGGAGCCTTCACACCCACCTCCCTGCCTGTTCAGACACAATCAGGGTCCCCATGGGAAAGGAGGGGTAGGGAAGGCTCCTGCCACAAGGTCCCAAGTCTCCAAGGCTGGCCATGCCAGCCTGAAGCTCAACACATGGTCCCCCTTTCAAAGGCCAGCTGTCCAGAGCGAGGCAGAGGCAGAGCCCATGGCCCTGGGAGGTCATTCCAGCCTGGGAGCCCCTCCCCTCACCCCTCTTGCCCAGCAGGATCCCTCATTATCTCCTTTCCTCCCACTTCTCCCATCTCCTACCCTCATCCCTCCTCTCCCCCCCTCCCAAACACACACACACACACACACACACACACACACACACACAGTACGCCAGTCCTGCTTCAGCTCAGAAATCCTCACAGTAGGGATGAGGTTTAATCTATGCTGATCAGAGGAGGGTGGTTTGATTGGTGTGCACACAGATTGGCGCCCTCTCCTGTGGGCTCAGGCATTCAGCAGGTATTCTTCCAACTTACACTCCCCTCTATTGCTATTCCCACTCACCCCATGCCCCCAACAGGCACATCCATGCAGGCTTATCTCTGAGTCAGTGGGAGGGTGGGCATGGGTTAACGCAGCCCATCTGGTGGGAGGGGGGGTGGGTAGGAGAAGGAGAAGACTTGACATATGTCAGGGCCCCAGCTGCCTCCATGGTCTTCCTGCCGATTCTCCCTGGATGGAGACAGCCACCTCACCTCCCATCCCAGCCTCTCTGGCTGTAGCCCCAGGCAGATGAACCCGGATGTGGGCTGGCAAGAGCTCTGGCATGGGCACTGCCACCAAAACACCACGTGTGTGGGGTGGGGGCAGTGGGGGTGGGGCGCTGGAGCAGAAGCGGGCAGCTGGGCAGCTCCCTCTCCCTGTAAACAAGGACATGTGACTCTCCCCCCTACTTGTGTGGCAGAAGCAAAAGAGCAGAGAGATCAGAGCTGCCGCAGCTGAAAGATAGGAGAATCCCAGAGCCCTGCCAGGGCCAGTCTTCTCTGCCCTCCCTGGAGAATCCGCTCTCCAGGGCCCAGCCCTGTTGGCAGGAGGGGAAGCCGCTGCCCTGGACTCACTCAGGTGTGTTTCCCTTCCCTTCCTCCTCCAGCAACAGCTACCTGGAGACTGAGCCGGCTCCCGCAGGCAGCGCTGCGGTTCCTGCTAAAATGTGTCCCGGGAACTGGCTCTGGGCCTCCATGACGTTCATGGCCCGCTTCTCCCGGAGTAGCTCCAGGTCTCCCGTCCGCACCAGAGGGGCCTTGGAGGAGATGCCCGCTGTCCGACATCCCTTCCTCAACGTCTTCGAGTTAGAGAGGCTTCTCTACACGGGCAAGACAGCCTGCAACCATGCCGACGAGGTCTGGCCCGGCCTCTACCTCGGAGACCAGTATGTACCCAGCAAACGGGGGCCAAGGCCGTGTGTGTGTGTGTGTGTGTGTGTGTGTGTGTGTGTGAAGGAAGAAAGGAGAAGGGTGGCAGACAGGCAGTGAGTTCCATTGTGGGTTCCAGATTGAGGTTCAAGGGGTGGGAATGTGTGGACATGGAATGGAGGTTCCAGGGTTTGGGGGTGGGCAGGATTGTTGATCTACCCAACTCTGGTCAGAAAGACTGTCATTTATTTAGCACAATTTTTACTCTTTTGTTTTGTTTTGTTTTGTTTTTTGTTTTTAATCTTTATTTTAGTAGTGAGAATATTTTTTCCATTGATTTTTTAAAAATATACTTTTATTGAGAGGAGCTGAAACCAGTTTGGCTCATTGGATAGAGCATCAGTCTGCAGACTGAAGGGTCCCGGGTTCGATTCCGGTCAAGGGCATGTACATTGGTTGCAAGCACTTCCCCAATAGGGGATGTGCAGGAGGCAGCTGGTTGATGTTTCTCTCTCATCGATGTTTCTAGATCTCTATCCCTCTCCCTTCCCTTCTGTAAAAAATCAATAAAATATATTTAAAAAAAAAAAAGAAAGAAAGAAAGAGAGGAAGGGGGAGGGTTACAGAAATGGAAACATCAATGATGAGAGAGAATCATTGATTGGTTGCTGCATGCCCCACATTGGGGATCAAGCACACGACCTGAGCATGTGCCCTGACCAGGAATCGAACCATAATTTCCTGGTTCATAAGTTGATGCTCAACCACTGAGCCCTGCCGACTGGGTTCCATTGATTTTTTAAAGAAAGTGGAAAGAAGGGTCGAGGGGGAGAGAGAGAGAGAGAGAGACATCAATGTGAGAGAGGCACATGGATTTGTTGCCTCCCAGGCATGCCGCAACCCAAGAGTGGGGGTTGGACCAACACAACCCAGGTAGTGCCCTGGACCGGAATGGAACCTGTGACCCTCTGGTGCACAGGCCAATGCTCTACCACTAAGCCACGTCGACCAGGGTGCAAGATTTATTATTGAAGGCTCTGTGCTGGGTATAACAGATGACTTATCTGCCTTCCGTCTATTATGCTGCAACGTGGGGCTAAGGAGGGAAGTGCATCAGAGGAAAAATAGTCCGCTTCTCTCTCTCCAGGGCTCTGTAGCATACAAGGAGTTTTTCACATGCATTTTCTCTCTTAATCTTCACAACAGCCTGTGAGGTAGGTACCACTATCCCCAGGTTACAGATGAGGAAACTGGAGCTCAGAGAAGTTGTGACTGGCCCAAGGTCACACAGGTCGTAAGTAGCAGAGCCAGGACTTGGAGGTTTCAGTTCAGTGCTCTTTCTCCTTGAGAAGTTTGCACTGGAAGGGGCATCTGCCCTAAGATACGGCCATGTTGCCTGAGAGGCGTCTGCCACTAAGTGGAGGGGTATGGGCCACGTGAACACCTAAAGGTGACGTCATAAAGCAGGGTAAATGTGAGCATGAAATAATGGGCAAAAAAGGATTCTGGTTGTCAAAGAGAAAACAAAGTAACAGGGGAGCCGGGTGTGGGAGCAAGGGCCAGAGTCACATCATCTCAAGGTTAGGGGGGATGGTAAAAGGGAGCTGGTCCAAACTGATGGCCCATCTGATGTCCCAATCCCTCTGTTGCATCCATGCCCACACACTTACCTCCTCTCTCGACTTCAATAGCCTGGTGACAGGAGAATTATTCTCTCTGAGGGTCCTCGCATCTTGCATTCCCCTTCAGCAAGATTCCACCATTAGTATAGACTTCTTGCATGGAGTTCAGATCCAGTAAATCCTTCCTCCAGATCAAGTAAAATCCCCCATGCTCAAAGCTCTCCTCAATGTTTTATTATGGCTTTTGTTTACCTACCCACTTAGTCTCTTCTTCTCTGGGCAAAACCTTCCCAGGGCAAGACTCCAGGTCATTGCTTATCTTCGTTCCTCCCTTCTGGGCCATCAGTAAACAGAGTGGAGGCCTCGGGCCAACGACATTAGCTCCACAGTGGGCAGGGCACAGACCAGGGACTCGACCCCACAGCCTCGCTTCCCCACCCTTCCTCTAACCTCTACTCAATGCAGGGACATAGCTAACAACCACCGTGAGCTGCGTCGCCTGGGCATCACCCACGTCCTCAATGCCTCACACAGCAGGTGGCGAGGCACACATGAGGCCTACGAGGGGCTGGGCATCCGCTACCTGGGTGTCGAGGCCCATGACTCGCCAGCCTTTGACATGAGCATCCACTTCCAGACAGCTGCCGACTTCATCCACCGGGCGCTGAGCCTGCCTGGAGGTAGGAGGGGCAGCAGGGAGAGGAGGGACAGTGGACATTGAATTGGGGGAAAGCCAGATGGTCCTGGTGTGGGGGAGAGAGAGATTTTAATGACATGGCAAAATTCCCTGGATATGATATGAAGTAAAACATGCTGTCAGCCATTTAAGAAAAAAAAAAAAAAATACATGGCTGCCCTAGCTGGTTTTGCTAAGTGGATAGAGCGTCCGCCTGTGGACAGAAGGGTCTCAGGTTCAATTCCAGCCAGGGCACATCCCCGGGTTGTGAGCTCAATTCCCAGTAGGGGGTGTGTGCAGGAGGCAGCTGATCAATGATTCTCTCTTATCATTGATGTTTCTATCTCTCTCTCCCTCTCCCTTTCTAAAATCAATAAAATATATTTGTAAATAAATAAAATAAAAATGCATGGTGTTTGATTCGGCAGCACATATACTAAAATTGGAAGATACAGAGGAGATTAGCATGGCCCCTGCACAAGGTTGACATGCAAATTCGTGAAGCGATCCATATTTAAAATAATAAAATAAAAAATACATGAAATAATGTAAAGATGTAAAAAAAAAAAAAAAGGGGGGGGGGGGAGAAATGAATCCAAAATGTTAAGAGAGTGGCAAGTCGCACCGAGGTGGTAGTATTAAGGGTGATATATTTCCATATTTTTTTTCCTTTATATATTTCTAGACTTTCCGATTCTACTTTGAGCATGTCTTGCTTTAGTGATCAGACAAAAAAAAGTGTATAAAATATATTAAACACCCCACACAAAAAAATGTTGATAGAAACAGCAAGATGGAAGGTGGGGAGATGGAGGAGCGACCAGGTCAGACTCAGGGTGTTTCCCAGGATGAGCTCAGCAGTATCAGCTGAGGCTCCACTTTGCACAGAGCTGGGTTTGCATTATTTATGAGAGTCTCTCCGTTGAGCCCTCTCTGGCTTTATGGATGCTGACCTGCTGCCTGTTCTTCGTATCATTCAATCTAGAGAATTTGCTGGGGAATCTGCATTCTTTTTTTTTTAAAATATGTTTTTATTGATTTCAGAGAGAGAAGGGAAAAGGGAGAGAGAGAGAAAGAGAGAAACAGAGAGAGAGAGAGAGAGAGAGAGAGAGAGAGAGAGAGAGAGAGAAGAAACATCAATGATGAAAGAGAATCATCCATCAGCTGCCTTCTGCATGCCTCCCACTGGGGATTGAACCTGAAACCCGAGCATGTGCCCTGACTGGGAATCAAACCATGACTCCTGTTTTGTAGGTTGATGCTTAACCACTGGACAACACTGGCCAGGCGGGATCTGCATTCTTACCACCACTCATCTGCACCTCATTCTGTCTTCACACACCTCTGTCACATCTCCCTCCTCACACTCTGCATAGCCCTCTCCCTAGCCTCCTCCACCCCTCCACCTCCCCACCTCAAACAGTGCCACAGCCGCCTCTGTGTCTGTCCTCACAGGGAAGATCCTGGTGCACTGTGCCGTGGGAGTGAGCCGATCCGCCACGCTGGTGCTGGCCTACCTCATGCTGTACCACCACCTCACCCTCGTGGAGGCCATCAAGAAAGTCAAGGACCACCGAGGCATCATCCCCAACCGGGGCTTCTTGAGACAGCTCCTGGCCCTGGACCGCAGGCTGCGGCAGGGTCTGGAGGCCTGAGGGGTGGGGCAGGGAGTTCGGGCCAGGCGCGTGGGTCCCTGGCTCCCAGCTGGAGAGAGGGGGCCCAGTGACAGGTATGGGGAGGCCCAGAGACCCCATCCTCTCCTATAGGCAGGAGAGCGAGAGGGCTGGAGCGTGGTCCCACCATTGCTGTTTGTCTTGATGGGGTGGGGAGTGAGGGCCAGGGTGTGATGGATACCCAGGAGGGAGCAGCTAGGCTGTAGGCAGGAGTTGGTCCTGGGATTCAGACCCCTATTGGATTCTGAATCCAACTGGTGCCCCCAGTGACTCAGAGCCCCTTCCCCCTCCCCTTTGTGCCCTGGTGTTCCCCTTTCTCCTTTGTCAAAACAAAAGGGTCCTCTCTGGTGCAGGGAATCTGAATGTGATGGCACAGGGCTCCGTGGAGATGGTGGTGTGGAGACAGCCGGTGAAGAGGTGGCATGGAAAACTGTGACACCCGAGGGGGGAAATCACAGACGTGTTACTCCAAGCACAGAAGAGGAGGTGTGGGAGGGTTGGCACTGTGCCCACGGGAGCTGACTGTGGCCCAGGACCACAGAGGTGCATGACTGGGAGCCTTTCGATGATCGCTCGCAAGTGTTGGAGGGAAAATAAAGATGGTATACAAGAAGAGAGCCTCCTGAAGTCATTGACAGCTTGTTTGAGCCCTGTGCCTCTCCGCTGAGAACCCAGCCTTGCTGGGGCAGCAGCAGTTCTTGACTCCCTCACATTGGTCACAAGACTCCCCCTAGCCTGTGAGCCTCCACCCCGCAGTTCTTAGAGGTTTTTCTCAAGTCCAGTTTCACACTTCAGCTTAGTGAGATTTTGAATTGTTATTTCCAGCTGTGTCCACACAGGGGCAGCAGAGGACCAAAAACTTCAGGTTTGCAACCATTTTTACACACACACACACACACACATCATCTCCTAAGTTTAAAATACTGTTCACAAGCTCGAGTGTGTAGGAAATAGAACTTCATTCTCAAAAGTCAACCTGGTTTCTATAGCAGGTCCCCACTAGGATCGGATAGCAGAATATGATCTTAAACCAAATCCCAGCCTAAATCCTTCCTTCAGATTTTTTGTTTTCCTGTTGCCAAGGAACAGGAGGAGGGAGGAGATGTTACTTAATTGCTTCCTCTTCTAATCTTTCTAGGTTTGCCTAAGAGAAGCAGGATCCTTAGTAAACTTAATTCGACTCGACAACCAGGGAGAAAAGGATGGTCACTGTTATCCCAAGGGCCAAACTGCCAGCTACCATCTCCCTCCTTTTAAAAAAGGCGTGTTCACAGCACAGAATGTCTGCCTAAAAGGGAGAAAGGGATGGGATGGGAGAGGAAGAGGAAAATATAGCAAAAACCTAAATATCACAATATGTCTAAAGTGTATGTCCTACCCCAAAGTTCAGAAACAAAGTGGGGTGGTGCCTTCATAGAGGTTCCATTTCCACTCTCCAATGAGACAGCAGAAATCGTCTTTTCAATGTCTTTGATGATAGTCATCCAGCATTTGTTTGGATGTCTCCGATGGTAAGAAACAGCCACATAATTTCCACATCATTTTACCAACTCTGAACATTAGGAAGCGCTAATACAATACCTGTGTCCCAGTCCGAGGCCGGAGAATGTGGCCAACGGGGCCTTTGCATGTCACGACCTCTTCCCCACCTGGTTGCAGGCAGTAGTTCTGTCTACCTCCATGGGGTTGCTACTGGTATTTAATTAGATATGAGACAGCACACCCCATGCACAGTTGGCATTTAATACGTGTTCTTCCTCTCGCTCTGTCTTCCGTCAGCCCTTCCGTGGTTTGACACCAGCTCTCCTGTGTCCTCCCACTTCCAACCTAATGGCTCTGTTTGTTTCTGAGAGTCTTGACAAGTTTCAAGGTTCCTCCTCAGCTTGCCAACTCATATTGGCAGTTCTTTCTGATTGTGGCAAAGAAACATGGTTGCAATGTTTCAAGCTAGACCTATAGGAGGCCAGCAAGATCTATCAGCTGGGCCTCAAATGCTGGTTACTCTTGAGGGACAAACTTAACAAGGGATAGAGCGAGGCCTTCATCCAGAATGTTGATGCTGATTAAAATGCGTTGGTTCCATGTCCAGACCATGAGTTAGAGTACTTGAGTATAACCAAAAAGAACCCCAGAAGACCTCAGGCTCTTAGAGGGACTATTACCATGATCTGGCTAGTATAGATGACAAGCCTCCTTGGTTCTAGTTTAGTATGTTACTCTTCATGCAAACTACAGTAATTGCAACCCTACTTGTGCAGTCTGATTGTGCCTCAGCTCACCCCCTCGGTTTCCTTCTGGTTGAATCACTTGAGAACTTAATTCTAACTTCTAGCAGTAGTGTAGCTACTAAAGTACATTTGACTAGAAAACAAGCTTCCAGATTCTCCTCATAGAGCAGATGATCCGTGTTTACTACTTACAAGGCCAGCCTGTGGCTGTGCCAAGGTACTCTTCTGCCTTTACAGGAACTAACTCATTGTGCTGGAAACCGAAACAGAACATTGTCACTGGTAATAAAATGTAAAGGGAGCTGGCCAACCTTGATGGCTCTGAATGGTTGGAGCTATTAACTCATTGACTCTAGGTTGAGTCACTAGTGGTAAAATGTAAAAAGAGCTGGCTAACCCGAAACCAAACATTGTCACTGGTAGTAAAATGTAGAAAGAGCTGGCTAACCTTGATGGCAGAGCTATTAACTCATTATCTAGTTGAGATAGTGGTAGTTGAGGCAACTTTAATTTGTTGATCCTATGTAAATTCTTGTTGATTTTCTGTTGTTGGAATTTCCCACTTAAGAGATGTCTTTGTCTCAGAATTTCAATAAAAGGAATGGTAAAAGCCCAGAGCAATGGAGTAGTCCTCCCTGAGAGGTGGACTCCTGCCTGGCCCCATTTTCCCAAATTCACTATTTTCTAGTTTCTTCATTTTAATGTGTGGCCTTCTCCAGAAATCGGACTCTGAGTGGGCCCTGAACCACGCAGGTCGTGTTAAGAGATCCCACATCATTGAATCTTTATAAAAACCATGTGAGGCCGGTGATATGGTCACTACTTCGGAACAGAGAAATTGAGGTGATGTCATTTCCCCCAGGACACACAGACGGTCAGTGGAAGAGCTGGGATGCAAGCCTGGGCGCTCTGGCTCCAGAACAGTGTGTGTGACCGCGTCACGCTGCAATGCCTTGCCTCCCTCTATCTCCACCATTTAAGGTTGGGTGTGTGAGTGGGTGTGTGGGTGTGTGTGTGGGTGTGTGTCAGTATATGTGTGTTGGTTGGTGACCTATGCAGTTCAAGGGACAAAAGAAGGGTACACAGCCTAATCATCACACAGAATTAGTCATAAGGGAGCTGATGGTGACACCTGTCACAGGTGAGTCTCACTCCCCCTGCCAAAACCAAGGTTAAATGTCCCATCTTCCTCATTCTGTTCTTGAGGGCAGTAAACTGCTTAAACCCAAGCATAGGACTTGGCAATGGACAGAAATGAACGTGCTCTTAAATGAATGTGCTCTTGGATTCAGCTGTTTCCAGCCAGCTGAGCCTCCCCCTTCAAGAGCTGTGGCCCATGTCAAGGTTGTCATCTTGCCCTGCTCTGCTCTGGGGCCTCCAGCCTCAGCCTCAGGCCCTTGTGGCAGGCCCTCAGGAGCCTGTGCTGCCTCTGGGGAGAGGGAGGAAGCTTTGCCTTAGGTCAGTCCACTCTGTAACGAATCACAGCTGAGAAGTTCCACAGGGAACAACCTTGTGATGGAGAGATCACAGTGGAACCAGAGAGGCAGCTACGAATGCACTGGCAAGAGACAGCGCTGGGCAAGGTTGCACCCAGGGCCCTTCTTCCTACCCCTCACC